CTGCCCTTCCACTTGTTGCCCTAGTGCTGAATCCAAGAAGGGGTGGGTCTATATGAATCCTCAGTCTACTGTGGGCCCTTTGAGAAGACACAGTTCCTTTTTCTGTCCCAACCCCCACTTGTTTTTACAGCCAGAAGTTATGGGGACTTATCTTCCTGGTACTGGGATTCTGGCCTGGGTGATCTGGACTGGGGCTGGTATCCTTTACTCTGGATGAGTCCGTCCCTCTTTTTACCTACTACATTTAAATGTAGGATCACCCATTCTAGTCTCTATGCCTCTGTGCATATCTATGCCTCTCCACATCTCTACTCCTACCCTTCTGGATGAATGTGGCTTTTTTAAATCCTTGGTTGTCAGACTTACATACAGCTCAATTTTCTCACAATTCTGGCTGAAATTTGTTTTGTAATCTAGTATTTTTTGCTATAGTTGTGTGCAGAGGTAAGGCATGTTTACCTACTCCTCCATCTTGACTGAAGTCCTCCATACTTTTACTTTTAACCTACTTGTGTTGTTATATTTAAATACTTTTCTTGTAGATAAGTTTGTTCTTGTTTTATCCAATTTTACAAATTTTGCCTTTTAATTTATACCATGTACAATTAATATGATTATAATGGTTAGACTTTATTACCTTGCTATGTTTTTTAATTTGTCTTGTTTTCCTTTTTATCTGACTTTTGAATTAATGGAATATTTTTATGATCTCATTCTATCTCCTTTGTAGGATTACTAGTTATACTTTATTATTCTAGTGTAGTTATTTTAAGGTTTGTAGTATACATTTTTTAATTTATTGATTTTAGAGAGCGAGAGAGAGAGAAACATCAATTTGTTATTTATTGGTTGATTCTTGTATGTGGCCTGACCAGGTTATCAAACTAGCAACCTTGATGTATCAGGACAGTGCTCTAACCAACTGAACAACTGGGTCAGGGCTGTAGTATACATTTTTAACTTACCAGAACAGTTTACCTCTCATGATAGATAGTATGGCATTTCATGTAGAATAAGAATGTATAATAGTGTACTTCTGTTTCTCTCCTTCATGCATTTTACTTGTCATAAATTCCACAATACACTGTTTTTGTTTAGTCAGTCTTTTTAAAGGTTTTAAATAGTAAGAAAAATTCTTACACATGTAATCTCATACTTAACCTTTTACTATTCTTTATTCCTTTGCATAGATCTCTATGGTGTAATTTTCCTTCTGCCTGAAGAACTTCCTTGAACATTTTTTGTAGTGATTTGTGCTGTTGAAGAATTCTTTTAACTTGTATCTGAAAATCTATTTGCCTTCTTTTTCAAATGTTTTCCCTGTATTTACGTTTCTAGGTTGTCCTACCCTCCTCTCTCCCCCAGTATTTTAAAATGTTGCTCTACTGTCTTCTTACTTGCATATAGTTCCAGTGAGAAATGTCATCTTTTCCTTGGTTCCTGTGTAGTTAATTAAATTTCTTTTCCTCTGGCTGCTTTTAAGATTCTCTTTATGACTAGTTTTGAGTTATTTGATAATAATATGCTTTGGTGTAGTTTTATTCATGTGTCTTTTGCTTTTAACTAACAGATTAGTTGATCTTGGATATACAGTTTTATAGTTGTCATGAAATTTGGAAAACTTTTGGCCATTATGTCTTCAGGTATTTTTTTCTGTCCCCCTTTTCCCTTCTTTCAGAGACTTCAATTACTCATGTATTATATTGCTTGAGGTTGTCCTACAGCTAACTGATCTTCATTTTTTTTACTCTATTTGGGAGTGTTTCTATTGCTATACTTTAAAGTTTATTTATCTTTTCTTCTGTATTGTCTATTCTGACATTAATTCCATCTAGTATTTTTCATCTTAGACAATGCAGTTTTTACTTCCAAAACCTTGATTTGTCTTTGTCTTCCATGATTCTACTTGAGATAATATCTGTGTAGGTTCTGAGTTGTTTCTGATTATCTCTTTACTATGGGTCATGTGTTCCTGCCTTTTTATATGCCAGATCTTAGGTTAATTGTCAGAATTTTACCTTGTTGGGTTTTGGATGCTTTTGTATCCTTACAAATCTTGAACTTTGTTCTAAACTGCAGTTAATTTTGTTAGGTAGATTCAAAGCTCAGTCTAGAATTAGTATTCTTCACTTCTGAGGCAAGTCCTTACCTACTATCCCGTAAGTTACAAAATTGTTTTTTCAATCTAGCTGATGGGAACAGGCATTGTTCCCAACCAACCCTGGGCACTGTTCCATTTGATATTTTCTGATGGTTCTTTGCTTTGGATAGTTTCGTCACATGCATGTGCTGATCAGGACTCTGCTAATATTTTAGGGGAACCCTTTACAGATTTCTTTCTGTGCAAGGGTTTTCTTTCTTTTTATACTGCTCTCTTCTCTGGAATTCTCTCCTAAAGTTTGTTTTCCCTAAACTGTCAGCTCAGAGTTTACCAGACTACCCTTTTGTTCCCCCTTTCTATGCTGTGGCCTAGAAACATTCTCAAGGCAGTAAGCTGGGGCAATCTCAGGCTCAGGGCTCAAGGCTCAGTGTATTTGTTTTCTGTTTTTCTGGACTCATCACCCTTCACTGCCTGGTGTTGTCTTGGAAACTACATTTCTTATGTTTGACTTGCTTTTTAAAAATTATTTTACGTAAGAATGTAAATGTAGTCCTTGTAACTTGATCTTGATGCAAAAATTCTAGCAATCTGGTTTTAACAAGCCCTCCAAGGAATTCTGATACATGTCAAAGTTTGAGAACCATATAGATATATAAGGTTAATGTCAATTATTCCACTAACACTATCAATCATGTACCATGAAGACAAGATTATGAGTCAGTAAATTTAATTTTTGGAGGAAAAAAACATTTTTGTAAGTAAATTCTCACATTCCTATGGTTTGCAGCATGGAAGATATATCAGACATTTCAATTATTGTGAAACATTTCAAATATTTATACTGTCAGGATAGATGGAGATTGGAGCAAGGGGAGGAAGGGTTTGTAAAATAACCTTATCTCATTAATGTTGCTATGGTACAAAGTGGTTTTAGACATTTAGCTTTAACCTATCTAATGATTTCTTTAACTGTGGAACTTTTATAAATGTTAGATGTGAATACAAATCTTAGAATTAGTGGCCTCAAGATACGTCCCCATTATACAATCACTCTGCTTTAAAGGATCCTAGAAAATAGAGGCTGGTTCTTCTGGAAGTCAGGAAAGTGATTGCTATGAATCCTTTGAAGGGAACTAGTCATGGAGTTGTTTTCCTTATTTTTAGAAAGTTTCCTGCAAGAAACTTTAGTTTTTTAAAGATTTTATTCTTTATTTTTAGACAGAGAAGGGTAGGAGAAAGAGAGGGACAGAAACAACAATGTGTGGTTGCCTCTCACGTGTCCCCTACTGGGGACCTGGCCTGTATCCAGGTGTATGCCCTGACTGGGAATCGAACCAGTGACCCCCTGGTTTGCAGGCTGGTGCTCAACCCACTGAGCCACTCCAGACAGGTCTAGAAACTTTAAATAGTTTAGGACATGTATAAAATCTATGCTAAAATCTATGCTAATAGTTTAGGACATGTATAAAATCTATGCTTTATGAATCAAATAAAGCAGGGGAAATATTTTAAATTAGGAAAGTAGTTGAATGTTCAAGTCATGCAGACTTTATTCTCTCTCAAGTTAGCAGTGTTTACCAAAATTATTAAAAAAAAACCAACAAACCCGTACTCCCAGGAACCATAAGGGCACAGACTCAGATATATATCCTTTCCCACAATATAAAATGGAATAAATAGAACTTTTTAAAAATTGTATTGATTTTAGAGATAGTAAAAGAAACATCAGTTAGTTGTTCCAGTTATTTATTGGTTGTTTCTTGTATGTGCCCTGATCGTGGATCAAATATACAACCTTGGCATATCAGGATTATGCTTTAATCAACTGAGCCACCTGGCCAGGGCCCAAACTTTTTTTTAAAAGACTTAATAAAAGGTGCTGAAACTAAGGGCAGGTATTAACCTCATGGCAGAGGTAATAGGTTGGGCAAAACCATCCAAAGACTCAGGGAATTCACATACAACTCCCTTCTTGAGACAAAAAAATGGATGAATAAGATTCTTTGTAGAATCAGATATTCTTTCCCTATTGTAGATAAATAATAATGTCCAGAGAACATGAATTTGAAACAAGATGAGTGATGAGTTAAGAGATAATGAGATAAAAATGGATTTTATAGAGGTTTGGTGTGGGCTGGGTAATGAGGGCAAAAATTAAACAATTGTACAACTAACAAGTAGACTAGAAACAGCTCAGTAATTCTTGCAGAGAACAAAGTGAATGACATGGATTAAATTGTTGAGAGGATTAAATGGGATGTAAGAATAATAGTTGGCAGCTAGTAAGTGCTCAATAACATTTGTTGCTATTAAATATTAGCAGTATTAATAGAATACATACTCTCAAGTGCTTTGAAAAATTCAAAAAAGTGATACGGTTTCCTTAAGAAGCTTGCATTCTAACGGGACATAAACAATCAGCAAAAATATTACAATATTAAATTTCAGGGACTGGAACATAAATATACACTAGTACAAGTGATTGAAAAGATCTCATTTTAAAAATCACATGAGTAAAACAATTCCTAGTGTAGTGTGTTGTTTATGAGCACATGCTTTAGAGTTGTGACAATCTTATAACATCTTCCTTAAAGTTGTTAGGATTAAATGAGATGTAGAACTTGGTAGATGGTAAGTGATTAAACAATAGCATTTTATTATACCTGGCGCTCAATTTTTTTATTTTTAAAAATAAGAAGGCATTATTAAGAATAATGGTTAAGGGTGTTGACATCATAAGAAATGGGTTCTTAACCAAGTTCTGCTTATTATTTGTGAATCCTTGGGCAAGTTACTTAAACCTCTCTGACCCTGATTATCCTTATCTTTATAATAGAGACATTTTAGTTGGCCATTAACATCCCACTTTGTAACTTCCATTACACTTGATAAGTAGTACCTCTTAAACAGAAATGTAAAAATTATTCTGTCTTCTTCCTCTTCTTCTTTTTGCTTAGGATTTGGAGGCTGGGGGAGGAGATCAGAATTCTTTCCATCTATTTTAAGAGAAAACATGGATTAAGATTTGGAAGAAGTTATGAGGAAAGAGACTAATTTCCTTTTGTTTTGAGAAACTTAAGAGTCAATTTGAGAATACCCTTAGAATCAGGTGAACATTGTTTTAAAAAAATTCTATATAAAACTCAAAATAGACATAAATACATTTTTTTCCTCTACCAAGTTTCCAAAATGCAATTTTAAGTTATTTAGCTGCTAAGCAACTCTTTACAAGTGTCTCCAGTACAAAGGCAGGTTCTTGTCAAGGAAGACAGTATTTAATTGCATAAGTTAAATTCTAGCAAAATCTCTAAGTTATTACAAAATTAAATATATACTACTTTCCTTCAACCCAGAAATTAATAAACATTATTGCTGAAATACTTTGTAAGTATGAGTGCAGAAAACAAATTCTTTCCCTTTGCATTTCCTTGGCATTCTTTAAACTTTGTAAAATTAATTACATTTAATTTTTGGAAATTAGAGAAAAGGCAGGATAAAGTCACTGTAGAATACAAATTACCTTTTCCTTACACACCTGAATAAATTAGTTTTTGTTCTTGACTGCCCAGTCATTACTGAGAAATGACAGTTTCTGAAGGGTAGTTCTACCAAATGAAGCTTTATTCAACAATACAAAACTGCTTAATCTTTTTGAAACTTTGCAGACTTTTTTAAAAAAGATTTTATTGGTTTATTTTTAGAGAGAGAGAAAGTGAGTGAGAATGAGGGGGAGAGAAACATCAGTGTGATTGCCTCTTGTGCTCCCCCCAACTAAGGAACCTAGATTGCATCCCAGGCAGGTGCCCTGACTAGGAATTTAACCAGTGATTCCTTTGATTCACCACCCAGCACTCAATCCACAGAGCCACACAAGCCAGGGTCAAATTTTTCTTATTCATTTCCACCCTGCAGAATGCATCAGTTGGAATAAGCAACTACAGAACACCTAGGATGGCACTTTTAGGAAATAAGATAGAATCTTTATCCTGGCATTGGGTCTAATTTCTGTCTTAATTTATTATTGTGAATTTATAAAATGCAGCAAAGTAAAAGAAAAACTGGAATACCTGGGCGAGTGATCAGTGAGGGAAAGAAACAAAGGGAGATTTAAATATTTCCTTTTTAAAAAATTGATGTTTTCAGTTTTCTCCATTACAAACAATGCTGTAATGAATGCTGAATTTCTTACAAGTACCACATAGCAAACTTAAGGGGAATTTTTGTTTCCACAAATTCCCATAAGTGGAATTTTGGGATCAAAGAGTATGCATGTTTCACAATTTGACAGATTGGTTGAATAAATTATCTTACATGCATACAATGGAATGCAGCCCTTACAAAGAATGAGTTAAATCTGTAAATACTGATATTTTTAAATGTCCACAGTATATTACTAAATTGAAAAAGGAGTTGCTTCGCACTATAAAGTCCCATTAACATTTACATACATATGTTAGTGTTTCGCAGAGGAAAACCTGGAAGAATATTAAAAAATTGGTTAATTCATTAATCAAATTCAAAAATTACTTTTCACATTATGTAAATAATGCATAGATAAATTAATCTTGTAAAAATAATACAGACGCATAAACACCTGTACTAAAATACTCAAAAAAAGTTTTATTCATAAAAGTTCGCAACTTTAGCCTTGGGTGGTATAGCTCAGTGAATTGAGTTCAGGCTGTGAACCGAAGGGTCGAAGCTCGATTCCCGGTTGGGGCATGTGCCTGGGTTTTGGGCCAGGTCCCCAGTGGGGGCCATGTGAGAGGCAACGGCACACTGATGTTTCTCTACCTATCTTTCTCCTTCCCTTCCCCTGTCTCTAAAAATAAAATTAAAAAATAAAATATTAAAAACAAAGTCCATAACTTTAGACAACCCAAAGTTTATCAATTAGTGAATGAATTAAAAAAAATTGGTATATCCACACAATAGAATACTACTCAGCAATAGGAAAGAATTATTGATAAACACTATAACATGGATTAATCTGTCATTATGCTAGGAGAAAGACACCATAGCTAAATACTACATACCATATGATTTCATTTATACAAAATTTTGGAAAGGGCAAAGCTATAATGACAGCAGATCAATGGCAGGCCAGGGGCTGGAGATGTGGATTATTACAAAGGAGCATGAATTTTTCAGGGTAATAGATATGATTGATATGATTATGGCATTGGCTATATACATGTTAAAATTTATCAAATTCACATCGAAAACTGCTAAATTTTATTGCATGTAAATTTTATTTCAATAAAGTCAATTTTTTTTAAGTACAAATAAAGCTGTTTTTTGACTACCACTCCCAAACCAGGTTCCTTCACTCCCCAGGAACAACCCCTCCTCTCTCCACACAGGTTAAACAGGTAACCACTATCACGAACTTGGGGAAATCTACACTTTTATATCACTTTACAACATTGTGTCATTATTTGGCTTTTTCCGCTAACTGTATCTTGGCATTCTTTTCATTAGAATTTATAGTTCTACATCATTCTAACTCCTGATAGTATTCCACAGTATGGGTACACTATAGTTTATTCAGCCAACTCTCCGTCATTCAACCATATTTGAATTCATGGTATGCCAAGTCCAAGGAATATAATGTAATATAAAAATGGACTAGAGTCCTGCCTTCTTAGTGTTTTTCACACAAGTGGGAAAAAGGAATGTTGTCAATAGTAATATTAGAGGTGAAGAGCAGTTATTCTTTGAGCCGGAGTCATTTAGTCAACAAATTTTTTTCTAAGGGAGTTAAACCTGAAACAGATCTTTAGAGTGGGTGAGCATCCAAAAATGCAGTAACACTGTAGGACTATGTGGGAAGTGGCGAAAATCATAAGGAACTTGCTTTTCCATACACTTTTTTACAAGATTTACGCCTTATTTTGTAATCACAAAAACATTAAGACTATAAATATTCCAAGTGAGCAGGCTTCCCACTTCCTCCACATAAGGAATCAATCGTATTTGCTTCAGGGAGAGAAAAATAGAAAAGCAAGCCTTTCTCGTTGGCTTCTCTTAACAACCTTGAACACGTCTCGGGGTTCTCTGGTGTTGACGTAGGATTAGGGATCTTCAGTATGACCTCGAGTGGGGTTAGAAGCATCTAGGCCTAGCTTCTTCAACGGTTGCTAAAGGCTGTCCGCCAGCTCAATCAACTTTTAACTACTTATCCTCTTAGAAAGCAAGGCCCGTCTTCAACCCTCCACTAGGGCAACAGTCTGGTCCGCAAGCGCAACGTGTACGTTCAGGGGACCGGGGAACCCCCAACGCGGGTTTCTTTACAAGACGCTTGAAACGCAGAATAGAGGGAAATTAACTACCACTTAACCCACAATGCACAGCTCACCTTTCCGGAAACAAGGATTATAACCTCCGGGAGCACTAATCCAGCAGACGTGTCTCGGCTGGAGTTTGATTGGAAGTAACAGAACGGTGCATTGTGGGACTTTTAATTCCCGTACGCATGCTCTAACTGACCTCTCTCGGTTCCACGAGCCACGTCCCGGAGGTGGCCGCCACTAGAGAAGCACGTAAGCGCAGCTGGCCACTCCGTTCTGTACGCAAGCGCAATGGCTTGGGCAGTACCGGAAGCGCAGGGGGATGGGGCGGCGGTGACGCGTTTCTGTACGCGTTGGAGGGGTCGGGCCGCTGCTGGAGTCGCCAAGGCTGCCTCGTGACGTGGCACAGCCGTAGCCTTAACGCTAGAGCCGGAGCTGTCGAGCCAGTCGTCGTGCAGGTCCGCGCCCCGCTTATTCCGGTGCCGGAGCTTCGTCCGACGCGCCGGCAAGCGAGCAGCCCCTGCCGCCCTCTTCTTCAGCCAGGTCCTTTTCGCTCAGTGTGCCTGGAGCGTAAAAGGAAAAGGCCGGGGAGGCTCCCAAACCCCTTCTGCTTCTGCCCATCGCAAGTGCCACTACCGCCATGGGCCTCACCATCTCCTCCCTCTTCTCCCGCCTCTTCGGCAAGAAGCAGATGCGCATTTTGATGGGTGAGTGAGCGACCAAGACCCGAGTCCCAACCCCAGTCCCAGTTCGGCGGCCTCCCGGCCTGTTTTTGCCTCATTCCGCTGTGGTGGGGGAGGGGCGGCGGTTGGGGGTCGAGAGAATTCTTAAGGGGAACAATGGGGTTAAGGATGGGTGGTCTTCACAGACCGGTTCAAGAGCCCCAACAGCTACTTGGGCAAGGTGTTCTTCTGCGTTTGGCTTTCTCTCCTTGATGTTATTGAAAGCTCAACAAGATTGGGTGGAGATGTGGGGGCAGCGAACTCTCGGATCTCGCACAGCCCGGAAGACTTTGGCGAGCCTCATTCTGAGAGAGCCTTCTGGCTCTTCTGAACCTCGAGTGTGCAGCGGTTGGGAGGAAGGCAGAAGGACTCCAGCCTTCCTCCATCTCTTTCCGCCTTGTGTACACACTTTGCACAGTGATGTGGTATGTGAACAGTGCGGTCGCTGAGAGCCCGGAGCCGGCCGCGGGAGGAAGTGTCCGGGCCCAGTGCACACAAGAATCAGAAGAGTCTTGAGTCCTCAGCGCTCGTTTCTTTAAACTTTGTTTCGCACTGGATTCGCTTCATATTGTTTTCTTTTCTTAGTATCTCTGAAAATTGAGTTTTTCATGAATGTTTCTTTTAGCCTCTCTCAGTAAACTAAATATATTTGGTTTACTGTCATTGCTTTTCAAATTTTTTATCGGTAACTTTATTAGCCGAACTGGCTAATGAAAAAAGCTTTTAGAAAGTAAAAATTTTTAAGCTGGTAACAAATTTTTAAGTAACAACATCATGAGGCTTAATTTTAGGGTAGTCTTAATAATGCACAGGTGTTTTTTTTTTTATTCTTTGTGAAAATAGGCTTTTTAAAAACTGCTTTTCGGGGTCATTTTTCGCTCAGGTGAGGGAGAAGGGGCTTGTGACTTGGGTGATGTAAGCAAACCCCCCCCCCCCACCGTGGTACTGTGAGTGGCCTTTGCATCACAGTTAAGCTCCATGGGTACAAGTAATGTTAAAAAGTGGCCCTGTGACTCTAAAATTGAAACTTGCTGGTCATTGTCTTGTTTTGTAGAGAGTGGAAAAAGTAAAGGTTTTATTTTCGAGTGCTACCATTGAAAGTTTTCCTAAACAAGGTTCAGTAATATTTCAAAGTGTATTAAGGGTAAACACGTTTGATTCTTTTGTCTTTTTTAAATTTTCCTGTTAAGATCCTAACTTCTCAATTCATGGAACAATTGTTAATGAAATATTAAGATTAAGGGTAAATACATTTGGTTATTTTTTTTATTTTATTTTCCTGTTAAGGTTCTGATTCACAATTCATGGAAAAATTGTTAATGAAATATTCACAAAAGTAAATCAAAATATTTTCTCTTTCAGAGAGTTTCTCAGATTTCATTTTTGACGATGAAGTTATTAGGACAGCCATATTATTTAGGCTGTAAAAGACGCTGAAAAATGGCAGTCTGAAAAAGGATCTGAAGTTAATGGGTGGAGTTTGGACTGCGATAAATGCATTTTCAGACTGTTCCTTTAAGAGATTAATTAGTATGTTCTTGTTTGTGTTCCTGGAAATGTAGTATGGATGGTCCTTTTACTGAAGATTATTAGAAATGAATTGCTGGTTTTCATTTCCTTAGTCTTTGTGATGGCTAAAAGTAAAGAGAGAAGAAAGGTAGAATTATGCAGTGAGCACTTTTCTGTTTAGGTGTATTAGGGGAGCATTTCTTCCTCTAATCCCCTAAAATGATGGAAAGAAAATGGAAGAAGAAAAGTACTTAACTTCGCATTTGTGCAGGGGATAGAAGTCATGGTCTGGAATTACTCATTTTATGTTAAATTTGTTGTTGTTGTTGTTGTTTCTAGATTTTATTTCTTTTTAGAGAGGGGAAAGGAAGGAAAGACGGAGAGAAACATCAATGTGTGATTGTCTCTTGTGGGACCCCTGCACTGGGGATGTGGCCCACAGCCCAGGCATGTGCCCTGACTGGGAATCCAACTGGTGACCCTTTGGTTCACAGGCTGACACTCAATTCACTGAGCCACACCAGCCAGGGTTGTTAAATGTTTTGTTACAAGAATAGGGTTTGGTATTCTTGTTTTGCATTATAATGTCAGGATAATCAGGTTTCCTTGATTATAAGCACTACAGTCACAAGGACGACTTTTGTGGTAATTCATGAAATGAAGTATAACCATATCATGGATAGAGAAAGAGGTGATTTGGAAGTTTTGATAATTCCTAGGAATTTTTATCCAGTTTTATGAGTGACATAAATAATAGACTCTCTTAAGATATCTGCCCCTATTGAAGTATTAGAATTAAAAAGATAGCTGTTAGCTACTGAGTCTGATTTGCCAAATGACTGTCAAGAAGTTTTAAGTTTTATTCCTACACTTGCTTTCAAAAGTTCAAGTAATTTTAAAAGGTGTTTGAAGTTATAGCTTGTAATCAACTAATTAAAAACAGCATCGGATTTAAAGTCATTTAAACTATGTATTGCCAGAAATCTGTCAATGGTAGTGTTTTCTCACCAAGGAGAAATTACTCCTGTGACTAATACTGAGTTTAAATTCAAAGTTTTCAACTTACATCTCTCATGTAGCCCAGCATTATCCTATTTTATGTATGATCTGGTAAGATGTAATTTTGGTAAATGACTCCCCACATTTTGTTTCTATCTGAAAACCACTAAGGTTTTCTGTAGAGGAATTACTAATTCTATTCTCTGAACTTGCAAGTTTCTGACTGGTGAAAATGTAGCTTTCTAAAACATTGCTAATACAAGTAAAGTTCTTCCTTGACCTTATATGTGACCATTTGGTGGCAGGGGGCGGAGAAGATCCTCTGATGGTTAGACCTCTGAGTAATTAGATAGAATATTAAGATAGAGTGTGCCCATCAGAAAAACCTGAAGGCAGGATGGCAGTGTATAAATATTTGAGAGCTCTAGCATCAGACTAGGATTTGTTTTGTTTTTAATTAAAAAAATTGAGCTATAATTTACATAACATGAAATTCATCCCTTTAAAGTATACAGTTCAGTGGTTATTAGTATAGTCACAAGGTTTTGTAACCATCACCAGTATCTTAATTCTATTTCCATCAGCCCAGAAAGAAACCGCATACCCATAAACTGTCATGTTTCTATGGGTTTGTCTATTTAGAATATTTCATATAATGGAGTTGCATAATATGTGACCTTTAGTGTCTAGTTTTTCACTTAGAATCATGTTTTCAGGGTTTATTGATATTATATTATGTATCGGTACTTCATTTTTTTTTTTAAGCTAACCAGTTTTGGGGGTTGTGTGTGTGTGTGTGTGTGTGTGTGTGTGTGTGTGTGTGTGTACACATACGCCGCCACATTTTGTTTATTCATTAGTCGATAGAACTGTTTCCACTTTTTTGGCTAATATGAATAATACTACTATGAACATTTGTTAGTTTTTGTGTGGGTATATGTTTTTAATTTTCTTGGGTAAATAAATACCCAGGAGTGGGATTGTTGGTTAACATTTTGAGGAACTGACAAACTGTTTTCCAAAGCAGCTACACCATTTTATATTTTTACCAATATGAGGGATTTAATTTCTATGCAAAACCTAGGGTTTGAATATCTGTTCCCTATTATTCTTGTGATTCTGAGGATATTTCTGAACCTCAAATGCTACATCTGAAAAATGGAGGGTTATTGTGGAGAATAAATTGTAAAAAAGTATGGAATCAGCTAGTGATATGGTTGGATCATAGTAAACACTCAATTTTAAATTACCATGAAGTTGTATTCCAAGCTTCCTGGTAGAAAATTTGAAAGATAAAGGAAAAAGTGAAGGAAAATATTAGCTGAAATCTTATGCACCTGAAAATATACTTTTATTCTCTCCATTTTTTTCCTTTCTGCATTTTTTTCCTCTGAGGTAACACAATTGGAATTTAGCTTAAGTAATCTATAAGTATTTCTTACACTTATATTTTATATATAAGAAATACTTATGATATGTAAGAAATACTTATGTTTTAAGTATAAAATATACTTGGATTTTAAGTATAAGTATGCCATAGTTTGGTAGGCCTACTTTCTAATGATTGGTAAAGATTTGGTGGGGGGAGTTCTGTGTTTTAACACTTTGGTCAAAGTGTGTAGGTTTAGTTAAGGAGAACCAAGTAATTTCAGTGTATCTTTCAATACAGTAAGTTGTTTATTGGGGTGGTAGGGCGGGAGGGTATAACTGGACTGTACAGATTAGAGTTTTATCTTGACTGGTTGAGAATTGGTTATAGTTTTCATTTTGTGAAGAAGTCTCATTGCCAGATATTGCAACATTAAGGAAATACAAACTTAAGAAATTACTAAAATAGCACAAAATTGTTCTACCAACATGTTTTTGAGTAAAGAAAGACTTATATAAGGAGTTTTAAGTGGTGGTATACATTAACGTTTGCATCTTTCAATAGAAAATTACTTTTTAAAAACTTCCG